CAAACTGCACATTCCTTGCTCTCCTGCCATTTTTCAAAGTGTCTTGTAGCATTTATGGGTTGTTGTTACTAGATGAATCATAATAATTTGAATAATTTATGCATTATATTCAGCAAATGGGAAATGTGACGTTTGAATCAAATGTCAAACTTAAGTCGAATATTCAACTGTTTCAGTTGCAGATTCGATTTAAGTCAAATTTAATTCAAAACTGTCAAATTTAATTGATGCAAATGTTGCATTTCCCTTGCAGTTATATTCAGTGTGTGTAAATGCGATGTTTGAACCAGGCCTAAGGGTTCAGGCAGTCTTTATTTCAAAGAGTTAGGGACAAACATAATCTATATTGACATATACATTTAAAACCCTATAAAATTGAACAGAAATTAATTGGGTAAACTAATAACCAGTGATCAATAACCGCCCAAACCACAACCCATACACAGGGTTGGGGTTCTGGTAGTCTTTATAATAAAGTGTCACTGAAAAAACATATAACCTATTCTGACATATACATTTAGAACCCTATCCAATACAATAGCCCAAACTCAAGTAGAATGCGACAATGTGACCAAAATGAAGTTGAGTGGTGTGAGTGAGAGTGGATTTGCAAAGCATGTTGGCAGATTTAGTCTGATAGTAAGTGGTATTGTGAGGTAGTTTAGGATGGTATTAGAGCTCCAATCCCGTAAAGCTTTGATAAGTTCAATTGGGACTCCCAGTTGATATGCAAAGGAGGCCCTGCCCTTACAAAAAGAGTGGCCTGCACATGATTGGGGGTTGATGCCTGTCCAAGTAAGGTGGTCACGCAACTTGGTTAGGAACGTATTGTACATAAACACCTGAGGGGGCAGGGAGAGCTTTTCTACCCAGGAAAAGGCTTGACTACTAGAAGCAGGGGTATTAGTGAGACTAAAGGCATGTGTAATGGCCAGGTTGGGGTACAACTTGCTGCAGGGAATTGGGGGTAAGGGGAGTTCAACAACCCATTCCCGAAACTGGATGGCTTTCCTCCAGTGAATGGTAACTAAAATTTCCCAACAATAAAATCAGAAGTCCTCCTTGCTAAGTTGCTTGGATGGGTCAAATTGAGTGCAGGACAGGGGTAGCAAGTGGGACTTTCAATACATGCCATAAACTGCCAGAAGGCAGATCACCCAGAAAAAGGAATCATAGCTTTGCGTTAAATCTAGACTGAAGCAAAGTGATATTAGTACCAATCTCCATGGAAATAGCTTCTAGCTATTATTGAGCACATGCTGGATAGAAGCAGAAGCAGAGATAGGTATCACAATGGGTTTTATAGGTTGCCTTAATAGAATCAGTGAAGAGCTGTGATTGGAATTGCTGGACCTCCTGTTTGAGTTGCATAGCTAATCTAGGAAAAGGAGTAGAAAGTGAATTGCCCCTTACGTTTGTACAGGTGCAAAGTAGTATTAGCGATAGTATTTTGGATGCCCTCTACAGAAACAGGAGTGATGTGGAAATTGCCAAAAGTAAAAAAAGCGCGCATACTTCTTGCATGACTGGGGCACTAGTGCTTGTGCCCTTGTTAATCATCTCTATGGCAGCTTGCTTATTACTGTTAATAATAACCCACCACGTAATATCACCACAAAACTTACCATCAAGCTTGCACTTCCCTGAGAGGGTAAGTGAATTAAGTTCAACCTGGACCTACGTTAAACCATCATAATGATGTAATGGTAAGAACACATGGCATGATATATTCATCTTTTGAGTTGATTCATTACCGCAAAAACACTGGTAATCCATTGATTGACCAAGACTTGAAACTTCATCTACAAGATCTTGGGATTTTGAATACCTGCATTTATTTTGGCAATCCTAGAATATTTAACATGAAGACAATTATTCATTCTAGACGCAATTCTGGTATGGCAGCCTCTCAAAGGCTAATTTCTGCAGGATCGAATAGTAATAACTGTTTTGTTATTCATCCTGGCAGGCATGCTAATAAGCAGAGAGTGACTCCCAAGAGGATCACCATACGTGACCAGACTTTCAAAAGCTGGAAAAAATGCTGAAAACCAAGACCAAGAATCTACAGACAGCTTAAGGAATACCCTTATTGCTGAAATTAGTTCACTCGGGTAGGTTTATTTATGATTTCGAAATTACAATTTGAGGCAATCGCTTGTGCTTTTGTTAAACAAATTGCTCATGCTTTTGTTTGACTGTTTGTATGACAAATTAAGGTATGATGGCAACTTCTTCGTTCGAAATCTGGACACCAGCATGGAGCAAAGTACTAAGAGAGGAAAAAGGCTGCACAGAACACAATACATCCAATACTGCACATGGGCACATGCACTAATGGTGAGAACCGATTGTTGCGGAGCATTAGCTTTACACAGGTTCCCGATTTTGTGAAAAGTAAGCATGCAGAAATGTAAAAGAAGTGACTGTTTTGTACTTTTTCCTTCAGAAAAAAGAAGTTGGGCCAGAAGATGTGGATTATTCATTTCCAAAAGTTGTTTTGAAATACATAAGAAACGTCACTCCAGGAGACGTGAAGGGAGAGATCAGAGAGGTTTGTCTGTCTGTGTCAATACACACACTTTCTTGAGCTTTTTAAGAAATAAAAATCCTCTGCTTAAATTATGTTGATCTCACAATAATTAAGTTAAATTTCTTTATTACTACTACAGGATGCTTTTCAAGTTGAACTTCAGGAGTTTTGCTCAGCACTTGACATTCCATCAATTTCCACAAAGAACTAGGTGGAAGTAATGATATTGTTAATAGCTGCAACTGGAAATATTACATAACTTTTTCTCCCAAAAGCAGATTGACACTTAAAAACCCTTGTATATTGCAGTTCCCCAGTTAATATTTTTGTTTGTACAGATTTTGTCCAGTTAATTACAAAAGAACCTACTTGTAGCTGTAGGTCTTGTAAGTCCTGTCCCTTGTGTCACAATTTCATTACAAAAAGTACCAAATCTCGTGGAATATATTAGTGTGTTATCTTTTTTGAGTAGTTCCTCAAACATCAGTAATAATGATATTTCCCTGTATATAACCAACCCTCAACTTTGGATTGAAACCCCAAAACTTTTATTTGTTCATGAAACAACTCTTGCCATGTGTAGTGTTCATGACTTACTGTTTTGTGTGCATACGGTTCACCGACAACGCTTTGAGCGGCTGCTCGATGTCTGCGGTGTGTTTGTTGGCCAGTTCCATGGCTCTGCCTGAGCTCAGGAGATTCGAGAGCGACCATTCAGGGTGTTGTAGGGCACTACGGCGAAGTTTGCGAGAAGTACACGCTTGGATGATTTGGGTCTTGACTTCTTTGTCATTGTCTGTGAAGCTACACGGCATCGCCAGCTGTTGTATCCTTGTATGGAACGTGTTGAGGGTTTCATTCCGCTGCTGTTTGGCTTGACCAAAACAGTAAATCGAGAATTCCAAATTGGCCGTTTGGGCGAAATGTGCATTTAGAGCATCAATAGCTGCTTGATAATTTTTTTCCTCCCCGATGTCTGGCAAAGTTTCAAAAATGTCGTTAATCTCCTCACCTGCATAGTGAAGAAGCAGAGCTCGTTTCCTCTTCAGATCGTCTTTGATGTTGAGCCCGATCATCATGTTTTCAAACTGGCAAAGCCACTTTTTCCATCGGACAACGGTGGAGGAGGCGTCGCTGTGGACATCGAATGGTGGGAATGTGGTGATTAGACTGATACTTTATTCAATGCAATCACATGTATTAGATTACACTTGCGGTGACTGTTGTTTCCGATAATTCCGATGTTCGATAACTCGCGATTTCCTGTAAATATTTCGGGATCGATGTTCGATTTCACACGTACGCAAACTTGATTTTTCAATGTGCTTATTTATTATGTTACAAAATCATCTTATATTACATTTGATATTATTAACTCAACCGGAAGTCACGCAATGTTACGAAATAGTAACGCACTATCCGTTTCGTCTCTATAACAGTGACGTAAGTCATGAACACCACACTATGGTAAATGAAGTCCTAAATAAAATTGTATAAAGCCTAGTGTTTACATTGGAATCTAATTTCTGCAAATTCAAAGCCACTGAAATGTTATGCTAAACAAGGCATAAAAGCCAGTCTCAAAACACGGTATGTAAGTCAACATTAAGTTGTGTAGAATCCCTGAGAACTGTACATGACACCTTCTTGATGTTGAAAGGCATCTTGGTATTTACATTTATCCCTCTTCAGCTTCTTTCTGCGATTTTTGGTGCAAGGGTCTGTCTTATAATCTGATTCTCTAATTCGCTTTGTATCAATCATCTCCAGTTCCCTTAACACACTGGGGTTTACAGGTAGATCCATAGCTGACCATAACTTAGAAACAGTGTCCTTTATACCATTATTAAAAACTAGCAAACCAAGTGCCACTGCTAGACTTGTCTCTTGTTGGGAGGTGTATTGTTCTTTTGGGGCCATACCCCAGATAACATGGTGTAAGCATTCATTTTGATTTTGATCAAGGCACCTCTCACACCCAACAAGAAATTATTTGGAGCGAAGGTGATCAAATATTGGCTGCATCAACCTAACCACAGATTCCTGAAGTGGATTTTTGATTGGTACATGAAAAAATCAAATATTTGCTCACCCTTGCGTGTCAATATAAGCTTTCTCAATGCTGTCCCCATTTGTTCAGTGACATGTGTGATACAGTCTTCTTTGGGAATGAAAACTGCTGGACCATAATGGGCCATTTTACATACTTCTGAGTAACTTTTACTGTCCCCATCACCCACAAAAGGGATGTACCTCAAGTTGTGTTAGTCAAGCGACCTTCCAAACAAGAGACATGATCCTCGTGCTTCCATTGACTACAAGAAAAGCATTGCAACATTAGTATCCAAAAGTAACATATTTAAATGCCCATTGTATGATAGTCCCTTAAGGAAAATAATTCAGGGAAAATGTTATCAGTTAAGGTTTCTATAATTTTAACCTACTATAAACTGTTGAGTTGACTATCATGAAAGAGTGGAATGTACATGTAAGAGATGTAAGGTGAACAGATGTTATCTCGCATTTTAAAGTTTTCCAAAACAGGCACTGTAGATGTCTCCAGACCGTTAAAAAATTTTATTGGTTCAACAGCCACTGCATTTTGGCTACAATTAATGGGATCACAGAATACTGTGTGCTTCTGTATCAAAAAGTCTACTACTGAAGAAAAAGATGTAAATGACAAGTTTCACTATAAATAACAATAGAGGAGTCGATTACCTGCAAACTCCCTTTGTGATTGTGGAAACAGTAGAGAGCTTAAGCAACGAACATTTTTTCACGACGGAGGTCTCCATTCCGTGAGAGGAATGGATCGAGAACGGCGTTTGTGGCGCGAAAATTTTTAACTTAAGTGTGTGTTCCTTTTTCACGACGGACACGTACAGTGTTGAATTGCTCAGTGCACTGAAACGAAAAACTGGAAGAGCTGTTGGAAATGTCTGTTTAAAGACGCTCGGGAAATGCTTTTGTTCAACCATGATATGAAAGTTATAAATGACGAAGAGTTGCTTTTGTTGCTAGACGACAACACA